CGACCCCTTGCGCTCCATCTCCTGGCGTTCGGCCTCGGCCGGTGGGTGCTCGATGTCTCGGAATTCGCTCTCGGGCTCCATCAATGACAGCCTGGGGAGCTGGGGCGGGGCAGGCATGTTAAGATCCTTGTTTGGCCCTCATCACCATGCCTGGGACCCAGGACCCCACCTGGGACCCTCACCTCCATCCCCCAAGAGTGGCCATGTGAGGGCGCAGACTGGGGTGTAGGACAGCAGGATGGAGGTGCCAGGGGGACCCCTGAGGTCTGATAACTCTGATCACCTGCAGGGTGACCTCTGGGGCCAGGCACCTTTCCCTGAGGGAGTCAGGAGTCACTGACTCTCCTAACCCTTCCTTGGGCTACAGCCACAGGCTGAGCAAGGCCGTCCCTTGACACCACCAGGGTCAGGTACCCCTCCCTAGGCATGGCTTGGGCCCAAGCTGGCTGCCAAGGCCCGTGGCGGGACGTTGGTGAGAGTGACTGAGAAGCTTAGGGGTGCCCTATGCTCTGACCCACCCTCCTTGAGACTGGTCAACCTGAAACTTGCTCTGGGAAGGGGCCTAGGAACCTTAAAGGGGTGGCACTGGTGACCCTTGGGTTTCTCCTGTTGGTGATAAGGGATAGAATTGGGACTCAGCCAGTTGCTCCCTTGGAACACCCCCCGCCTCCCACATACACACGCGCGCACACACGCACACCCGTCCAGGCAAGGGCACAAACACCTTCCAGGTCCTTCAGAAGAGGCTGAGGGTTGAGCCATTGGGGTCCCCAGAGTCTCCCACCAGCAGGGGGCACCCTGCCCCTGCACTCACAGGGCTGAGGAGGCCCCAGTATGTCAAAGTGTTTGGAAGAGGGTCTCCAGGGACTGGTGGGAGTGGGGGGTTGCAGCCCCTTCAGCCTCCTTATCCATCCTGTCCAGGTGCTGGGGAGAGGGAGGACACCCGAGTGGGACTCACCGGCACGTAGTGCACCACCGTGTCCACCACGTTGTCAGTGACACCCTTCAGAGCATCCGACAGGGACATGGCCCGCCCCTTGATCGGGGAGACAGCTGGGGCCGCTGTGAGGTGCAGCACCCTCCCCGCCGTGCCCAGCACAGCCTTGGGTGCCCACGTCACAGCTGAGATGGTGCCCTGGAGCGTCTTCTTTAGAGTGTATGCCACAGTGCCCAGGAGGCCTTGTGGGGCTGGCAGGGCCGCCACCTGAGGGCCAGAGCAAGGTCAGCACCCTGCAGTGACTCTCTGACCCCGCCTCCCCCGCCCCTCAGCCCCAGAGCTACAGGGGAGGGAACATGGACGTCAAACCAACAGAACTCCAGCCCTGGCTCTGCCGCTAGCTAGGTGGCCTTGCGCAAGTCACATTCTGAGCTCGGGTCTCTTGATCTGCAAAATGGGGCAATCATCTCTGCCTTGCCTATTTTATGGAGTCTTGTAAGCGTCAGCTGAGAGTGACATAGAAACACTTTGGGCTGGGGACAGAGACCTTCATTTGCCTCTGCTCATCATTCACCGAGGGCTAGGGGTCCTTGAGCCCCCCACCTCACCTCACTGAGTGTGTTCTCCTCGGTCTCGGATTCCTCCTCCTCTGACTCCTCCGCCTCTGTGTCCGTCTGGTCATCATGGACCTCATACTGGGCAGCAGCGAGGGTGTGTAGCCAGGGCACATGCACCTCGCTCTGTCGCCGGGACACTACCTGCATGGCGGCTGATGCGCCCCACTGGGCCAGGCTGCTCTGAGGGAGGGACAGAGTGGCAGCCACTTAGCAGCCACTGCTGAAGCCCGAGACTCCCACAGCTGGACCCCCTGGTCCGAGGGGTCAGGGCAGGGCTGGCTCCAGCAGACTTTGCTTAAAACTCTGTTGAGTAACAGCTTAGGACATGGCAGCGTGAACAGTCCTATGAGTTTTTACAGGCACACTGCTGCGTAATAGATCAAGAGCATACCAGGAGACCCCGGGGGCCCCACTCAGTCCCGGCTTCCCCAAGAGTGACCACAGTTCAGACCTCTATGACCATGCATTCATTTGTTTTTGTTTTGTTTTGGTGCTGGGAAAGAACCCCCAACTTTGCCATCACCAAGCTGAGCTCTCTGTTCCTGCGCTCACTGCAGTCCTGGGCTATTGTGGAGCTTCCTCTAAATGGGTCACACGCGTGCTTGTTCATGAATGGCTGTTTTCATTCAGCAGTACACGTGACAGGCTCCCTTGCTGTTGCACATGGAAGTGCTTCGTGATGTTCACCCATGTGACACTCATGTGAGCCTCCACCACCCTCCACCCCTTCTACAGAGGACGGACATCTGTGCCGTCTCCAGTTCTTGGCTGAGGATAAAGTGGACATGAACATTTTTCATGTCTTTTGGGAGACACAGGGGTCATAGAGAGGGAGGGAAGGAGGAAAGAAAGGAAGAAGGAAGGAAAGGGGGATAAAGAAAGAGGAAAAAAAAAGACTGCCTAGTAAGCACAAGGACCTGAGTTCGATCCTCAGTACCAAAAAAAAAAAAAAAAAAAAGCTGGGATTAGCCAGGTCTGGGGGTGCACGCCAGCAGTCCCAGCTCTCAGGAGACTGAGGCAAGAGGATCTGAATTCAAGGCCAACCTGGGTTGCAGGGCAAGTGCAAGGCAAGCCTGAACTACATAGCAGGACCCTATTTCCAAATAATAATACCCTAAAAAACAAAAAACTGGGGTCAGTGGGGGATAAGGGTAGCTGGGCTTTCTCCCAGCAGAAGTTATTGGAGGATGACACTTCCTGGATAGCAGTTGTCCTCACTGCTGGGACAGCCCATGGCAAGAGGCCACTTAGGGGGAATGAGGCGGCAGAGGACAGTCAGAGGAGGAATAGGGAAACAGAACTGGTGGTGGGGTGGGACCACTGCAGCACCCCAAAGTACTAGCCCTTCACTCCTCATAAGGCCCTTTGTTCTTACAGCTAAAGTTGCAGCCCAGGTTAGAATGCTCCTGGGATACAAGAGACCAGGGGAGCAAGTGGCTCAGGCAGAGCCCAGACACTCACTAGGGGTGCCACGCCCGGGATCCACATGGCCAGGGAGTGGCCCTGCTTGAGGGCCCAGGATGTGGTCTGCATGGCTTGTCGGGAGAGGGTGTTGGCCAGGGTCCCAACCCTGCGTGAGAGGCTTGGCTTGGCCTTGGGAGGTTTCTGAATCCGCTGGCGTCCAGGAGCAGGGGCTGGATGAGGATTGTGGGGAAAAGATGGAAAAATGGATCAGAGTGGAGCTGGGTGAACAATGGCCCTGGTTCCACTACAAGCATGGTGACAGTTGCCTCTCACTTTCCCTCTCACGAGATGGAGAAGGGACGAGATAATGATGGGTCCCTCTGGAAATCCCTCTGGGCTCTCCCTACTCCAGTGGTTGAAGGATCCCTTGCCCAGCATGGGGCAGGTGTGCATGGGGGGTGCGGCTGGGTCCATGGGGGAGGTGTTCGAGCCTTGGTGTGAGGTACCTGACTCCTCCTTGCCCGGAGGGAGGAGGAGCTCCACCACCTTCTCAATGCCGCTCAGGGCCAGATCGGCCCCTCCAGAGGCCAGCCGGCCAGCTCGGGTGTTGGCAGCGTACTCCACAGTCTCCTTGGCCACCCCCAAGGCCAGCTCACAGCTGGCCAGTGTGGCCCCCAGGACCTTGTCCGATGTGCTTGTGATGGGCACACTGATGCTGTTCCGGGCACTGCGAAAGCGGCTGGAAATGGTGTCCTTCAGCTCTGAGGCAATCTGGGGGGTTGGAGGGCCAGGGGTCAGCTTCAGGGGTCAGCTTCAGGGATCTCCTTGCAGGAGGCCCAAGGGACTGGCACTGGTATGTAGGCATCTGGGTTAAACCTGGCTTCAAAGGGAAAGGACTCTACCAATCTCCACCTGGCTTCTTTGCAGCTGTCAAGACACTGCTCTGTAAGCCAGGATAGCCCCAAAGTCACCTGGGGGCACACTGGTCCTGCTTCCCTGGTGCCACCTCCCTAGACACGTCCTGTGTCCTCTGTCAGGCTCCATCTGCATTTATACTGATGTATAGGTGTCTTTCTTCCCACCAGGTCTGCACTGAAATAATTAGCCTTCTTCCTCAACAGCCGGGAGCTCCTTCATGACAAAGACACTGTTGCCCTTGTCCAGAAAACCAGGCAGCTTTTGGTTTTGAAGCCAAAACCCTCATTTTAACCCTCACTGACCTGATGCCCCAGGGTTTCCATGTCAGGCTGTGTGGTTGTGGGAAGTCACTAGCTTTCTCCTCTGTACAATGGGGCTTCGACAATGGGGCACCAGCCTTCCCACAGGAGGTTGGAAGAGGATTAAGTGAGAAGGTGCTAGGAAGTGCGTGTCACAGCCCCCAGAAATGATGGGGCTCAGGCAGCAGTGATGGGACTCAGGGAAGGCTGAATGGGCTGGTGGCTGATCAATGAAATGGGGGAGGCCAGAGACTCAAGACTGAAGTTTAGTGCCCTTGACTTTAGGCACCTTGGATCCAGTGCAGACCAACAGAGCCCAGGTTCTAAGGACTGGTATCAGGTGGCCATGGGACCTGCCCCAGGCTCCTGATGAGTTTGCCCTGGGCTGGTGCCTGCTGTCCTGCAAACCCTGCCTCCCTTAGGCAGCAACGCTGACACTAGCAGCTCCTGCCCTTTCCCTGGGAGGTGGTGACCACAGGGCACAGGGGCATCACAGAAAGGGAAGGGGCTCACCTTTTCAGGAGGGTACTGGAGGGCTGGGATCTTTTCCTCAAGGTGGTCCAGGCCCCGGCAGGCCAGCTCATTGGCAGCTGTGACTGGAGACAAGGGTTGTTTAGGGGTGAGCCCTGCCCCCACTGCAAGGACCCAACAGTGGCCTTTGTGCCCAGAAAAGCACCTTGCAGCCCTCAGATGCCTGGCCCTGCTGCCTCTCAGGCATCCTCAGATGGCTCTTTGCCATCTTTAGCCCTTGTCCAATGATGACTCCCTGAGACCAGGGCTGATTTCAGGGTCCATCATTCCTGTACCACAAAGTGTGTGGCTTCGGGCAGGTCACAGCCCATCTGAGGAGGAAGCAATGGCACCATGTGAATCACCAATGATACTGTCCTCTCTTCCTCCTCCCCCCTCCCCAGCACTCAGGACTCTGAGTGAGTGCAGGGAAGAGAGAGAACAGGGGTGTGGGTGGCAGCAGGGCCTGGGGTTGGCCAAAGTGGGGCCAGACCTAGGCCTGCTTAGCCCTGGGGATAACAAACTTCCAGCCACGAGCTGTTTTCCCTCCAGATTGTCCATGGCCTTTTTTTTTTTTTTCAGTACTGGAGATTGAACCCAGAGCCTTCACAGTAAAGTGC